TAGTAATAATAATAAAAAAATAAAGAGTGCAAGGCCAGACTTTTCATAAATATCAGCTATGGTATAAATACTTCTCCCCAGAGGAAAACGGGTTGAGAGAGTATTAATCGACAAATTATGATTATGCAGCTTTCTGCGATGCATTTCGAAGAGGTCAGCCTCAGACACTTAACAATTCCTCCACTCTAATATACTACAGTTAATCTGATATGTAGCTGCATTATAGTATTTTGGTAAAGTTTGAGGCTGGAAGGTGCCACACAGAGCCAAAGTGGCCTTATTCACTCTCCGGAATTGAACAGGAAGTGCAGTGGTTTTTGGCAGAGCTTGGGCGATTAAGTAAGTAGATGCTCAAATGAACTGCTTTACCACACAAGAGTAAGACCACCAAGGTGTATTGTTATGCAAGTGGCAACACAGAGCAAGAAGGACACACAGTTTTCCCACTGAATCTCTGTGATTGTTATTCTACAGAGAAAGTCATTTTAAACAACTACTGAATCTCTAATAGCTAAGCAAGTTGTTTCTTCATGCTGTTCAGCTTCAAAGCCAAGAACACCAATTCATCACCGCGCCTGAGCATTTATCAGCACCAGTGTGGCCCCACGACAGAAGATTACCACACCGTTGGCAGCCAGACTTTAATGACATGGAAACTGACCAACTCCCAACAAGCAGGCTATTCAACAGCAGACCAGTCAGGGGAAACCAACAGACTGCAACGCACACTTTGGCACAGACAGCTTGTTTACGTAAAAGAGGAAGGAAAAAATATGCGTTGCGCCTAAATACTGCAAGCGCTGCTCCGCGCCTTGGGAAAGGAGAAGGGGCAGAGCGGAGGCGGCGTGAGCCAGATGCAGATAAATTTAGAGATCTGGGTGTAGGTACATCTGGATGAATCAGACAGGCACCCATGGGCGGTTTGTCACAAAGTGTTTTTCATCACGATAATGCTGACAAACAGGCAGACTGACTGTAAACAACCTATTTTTCTATTACATAACACATTATGAATCACAATAACAGGCGCTCCTTAGCCAAAAGCCTGGAGACATTTAATACTTTAGAATTTCCTTCAAACTTTAAGAAACATGAACTGATCCAGTGGTAATGTTTGCTTTAATCTCAACTGCTTTGGCCTTTGCTGAACGCCATATAAATGTGTGTGTTGCTTACACGTTTAAGCTGCTGTGGTATGCCTGCCCTTACCTTCATTAAACAGTTCGATGAAGTCCAGGGCATGTTTCAGGATTACCCTCATAGCTTCAAAGATGTTACTCCTCAATACACCTTGAGGCTGAGGACCCACTTCCAGACCTGCAACAAAAACCAAGGACACACAAGACACATTTGAACATGTGATACTATTCTCTGCCGACTGAATGAATGCCTTAGAAATATCTTAAATACAGGCCATTGTTCCCCAGAGCAATTTGGCTGGACTTGAGAGACTCACCAACAGGGTGCTTGGCAACAGAGCGTGAAGTGGAATATTTCAAAAGAGGATGTTCATTGAGCAGAACGAGACAACTGGCTGGAGCGATGGCTTTCTGCAGCACAAAATCGACAAAAAAACAAGATCTCAGCTGCAGACGCAAAAACACTCCTTAACACAGTCACATCATGCTACACATCATCCGGCCGTCTCAAGCAGACCTAACTGTGAGTGACTGCTTTGAGGTTTTGCTCGACTGAACGGAAAATTAAATCTGCACCGACTCACAGCGGAGCAAACGTGACAAGTACAATAACAAAGAGAAACACAATGACCATGTGCATGAATCAGGTTTAAGTTGGTAGTCGGTCATTCTCAGCACGAACAGCAAGCAGTGATTCTTGTCTCCGTAAATTATCAGGAGAAGTGTTGTCATCCCTGTGGGCCTTCAACATCAGAGTAATGGGTAGAAAACTATGATCTCCCGAGTGGAGTTTAAGCTGTCGGAGATTCAAATAATAGAAGATTGTTTGTTTTTATCAGTTTTGACCGAGGTCTCTGAATCAGTGTGGTCACCTGAATGGACTCTATACTGTATATGAAATGAAAGAAAACACCATAAGCCAGTTTCCCACAGGAAAGGATGAAGTGGAGTCCTAAAAACGCAGGCTATTTTAAAGGATATTTCTACTGAATTTTGCCTTCAGACAAGGACATGGCAGTCCACCAGACAGGCTCTAAAATCATGACTGATGTTTCAGCCGGAGACAGCTTCTGAAAAGTCAGCCAGAGAACTGAAAACTCACCAAGAACATCACCAAGCCAAGAAAATGAAGTTCTTAAATTAATGATTGCCTTGATTGATTGTGTTACCTGGGCTGTGTAAGTGATTTTCTGAAGTCGTCTTCATCATTGTTTCTCGTGTGGTAGCATTTCTGTGTTTCTACCAAACGGTTAAAAAAAAGTCCCATAAGATTCTCATTGCACACCTCTATTGCTTCCCAAGGTCACAAAGGAGCTAGTTGGCTTTTTTGTCCGCTCTTTTCCTCCCTGGGTGAGGCTTGCAGGACTTTTGTTGCTTCTTGTTGGAAGAGCAAGAACAAGGAACCAAGACATAATATATATCTAGTTTAAGTATAGTAACCAAGATTGGTGAGCATCTTTCACTGTATTGTCAGCAAGTGAGGCTTTTTGGTTTTTTGTAATAAAAGCTATTAAAAACCTGATTCTTCAGGAGACGTTAATACTGTCTGCACTTTTTTATGGACATCCCTGAACATCGTCTTACAGGTATATAAAATCATGAATGAAGAAGGTCATCCTTCCAGATATTCTCCTACAGAGCTACCTTCGGAACTCTCTCGCTCTGGACGCGTAAGGTTCTAAATTCCTTTTAGGTTGACGTTTGTCAAAACACGTAATGTAAAGCTTGACTGATTGCATATTATTGTACAGAAGCACTTCATACCACCATTTCCACAAAAAAGGAGACCTAGAATCTGGGCTCAACAAACAATTCGAACTTTATCAAGCTATGTTGTCACTAGGCTGCTCCATCTTTGGGAAACACGTAGAAGCCGAATCATACACTTCCTCTAACATACAGGCACACTGACTGTAATGTGCACATAAAACATACCATAAATTCATAGAGGCCATAATCTTCCCATGGGTTCGGCACTTTTCTTGCACAATAACGCCCACAGAATAACAAAGCATCAGTGCAGGCACCCTGAAACTACTCCCACCAAGAGAGGTAGGATAAGTTACTGTGCCGTGAACAGTTTTACAGAAATTCAAAAGTGGTGCTCCCTCAAGGGCCGTTACGCCTTGATTATGTTATAACATCCTGAATACCGACCTTGAAGCAAAGGTGGCTCTTTGGGAGACTCTGCCACGCAAAATCGCGCGTGCCACGCCCATTGCCTTTGGCGTCAACAACACTGGTGTTTGTCGGGGAGTGTCAAAGATAACGATACGTAGTCATTATCGTGGTCCTTGGTCCCAAACAAATATCCATTGGATCTCCCCTGGCCCCTTCACTAACCTAGGCCACAGACCCCTTAGGGCAGGGCGAACATACTACCTCCTGGGCCTGCAGAAACGACTAACACACGACAATTCTTGCGAAAGGAACCAAACTATGAGATGGGTAATATTTTACACAAAGGGTATGTCAACCTTGCCTAGCTTTCAACCCTGATAACCCGTTTCAGCGCCTTATAAGTCCGGTTATCTGAGACCATGACAAGGATAGGCATATACATAACTCTGCAAGAACATAAACACTGAAAATCCCATCTTGATCAAGCGGTCTTAACCACATAGTTCACCGTGAAGGGTTACAAACGAGAGGCCTTAACAACAACACCGAAACAAAAAAACCGAGCTCGCAAAAGGCAGACGAACTTAAAGTACCATACCCAGATTTCCTTGCCTCATGATGTTTTCTGCAAAGGTACTATCGAATTGCAGCTGTCGCGTATGAGGACTTGTACATCACATCAGATCTATTCTCTTCATCGGTGTTACAATTCATGTGCGTATTAGTTATATTCTCCACTGGGATCGTGTTCTGTTATTGCCGATAACATCCATTGTGGCAAACAAATGTCCCTTCCTAGTATTATGTCCCAGTTGCCATCCTGTTTCTATTCCAAATTGTCTAGAAGAACTGTTATGTCTAAGAACATCGTTTGTCTTATAGTAAATATTTGTTAATATAATGTGTGTCTTTGTTTCTATTATATGCTGCGGTAGTTGTATTTTGTTGTGGCTATTCGTGTGTATGTTGTGTTAATGAATCTGATTTTTAAATATATTTTTATTATATACCCCTTTCCATGCTCTTTGTGTTTTATGTATGTCTACTTGAATGACCCATTTTGTATGTTGTCCGGGGTTATTACCTTGCTTCATCTTGCCCCTTACTGCAGGGCGAAATGAGTGAACCGTTTCTGCAAGCACGACGGGTAACTGAGCATTGAGAATGATGGGGCTTTGAATTTTGCTCTTAGCTCTTCTAGTGTATTTGACCAGGGTGCTCATTTTCTTTCGTTTATATAACTCCACAGTTTTAGGAATCTTCCAAGCCTACCTGTTTAGAATGGTATTGTGTTTTTATTCCACCGTATTGGTCTCCGCCCTCCTTCTCAGCGAGTCCGGCTCTTTCATAATGGACAACCAGCAGCGGTGTGAGCCGTGTCAAGCGAACTGGCTTTCTCTTGGTTAGAGATTATCGTTGAGAACTCTTGCTGTTTTCGCGCCAACCCGGTTTGACCTGGGGTTGTATTAGTGATGAATTCCTGACACTTGTTTTATGACGTATTAGATTCATTGTTTTGTATTGACCATTTAGGTACTCTGGATGTCCTCGTCGCTGTATCTCCCCTACGTGTTTCAATGGATCTAACTTTTATCATAAGATGTAACTGTCTTGTAGTGTTGTGTGGTCGCAATAAGAACTGTTGATATCTCTCTCATATCTCGAAGTGTATCTGCGAAGGCGAGAGTTGCTTGTTGTTCCTCACAGTCATGATATTATTATAGATGGGAATATTGATTTAAAAAGAGGAATGTCTCTTTGTTGGCAGCCAAAGTGAAGATGATGGGAAATCTATTTCTTCCTTTGTATGCTATATGATCTTATTGATTTGCGGTCTCTCGGCCTTAGTGTATTATCTTTGTTTGAGTGAGATTGTCTGATTACCCAGTATTGTTATATGAGTGCGCTTTTTGTAGTACTGTATTGTGCGTGTAAGATTGTATTTGTGTGTAATGACAGAAGACTTCCGCTTGCAGGGAAATTTTTCTGCATGATGGATTTGGGCGATCATTCCAAGTTGATTTACCTTTAGTTCTTATTTTGATTGTTGTAGTAGGCATACTTATTAATTCGATTATGTCATCTTTTTTAATTTCCCTAAATATAACCCCATATTCTTGATTGAATTTCCAAGTCAGTCTTCTCCTATCAGGAGTACTGTGTATGTTGAAATAGAGAGATGTAGGAAGTGGCGTATCATTAAGGACCAATATCTGATACTTAGTTATTCACGCATACTTGTCATACAGACTTGAACGATATCACTAAGATTGTTAATAAAAACTCTTGTTCAGTATGATAATATAAAGTGAATAGGCGTATGAGTAAATATAGATTGCCAGAAGATGCAATGAAATGCCTCTCGAGGCATTTAAGGATTATATAAATGTATCTGATTAATCGTTCTGTCGGTGCGAAATAGAATTAGAATGAGACAATGGTAAAGAGAGCGCTAATGAAGAAGAGCCGTGTAGAGTGTTGGTGGATTATAGTGTTCAGTCTAGAAATACTTAAGTGATTATAAGAAATCATCTGAAGGCATGGATTAAATCTGTATGTAGTATAGTGGCTATGTTCTTTGATATATTTGTTATCATACAGCGTCGATCGATTATATGACAATGTTATAGCAGAATAATTTCAGCAACCGCTTCGTTATGTAATGCACAGTCACACTCCTATATGTGTGAACACCCATATCTAATAATGTTGTGTGTCATTGTTTATCTTTCCTATACACTATAAAGTATATAACATCAGATAAATATAAATTTTATGCGTGTTTTACACTAATTTTTAAAACTTGAAGGTTTGATGTCGTACCAATTCCAATTTCGTCAGACCGCATGTTCTCTCTCTCCCAGTTATTTATTTATATATGTTTATCCTATAATTTATAAGATTCACGTTATCCAGAGTTATGTCTTGATATGCTGCACCAACTGTAATTGCGATACTTGAAAGACTCAATAGGTAATACCCCTCTCTCACACTCCTCTCCCCTGCTGACTATGTTGTATGGGATATATTGAATGTAGACTTGGGGACTCTAGAGCTCAAGAGAAAGTTAATTCCACACTCAGTGATAGAGAGAAGAAGTGGGCGCTAGAGTATTGCCGTGTGTGTGTCTCCTTTCCTCGCGATGAGTGCTAGTCCACTAGCAATTAGTCTTAGGCTTGCTCAGTGTGCTGCTGGCCGGAATTGTGCTATTTGTCTATAAATTGAACCAACAGTAGCCTCTACTCTGATAACCGACATAAATCAGTATCAGCTCTCTTATCAATAGTGCACTCATTAATGATTCCATCGTTCACATACTGAAATCCAACCACACGCTGCTGCTATCCTCTTTGTTTCTTAATTTATTTACTTCTTGGCCCTTTCGTAGTTCCGAACGTATCCGCGGCGTTATCACAATACTTGTGCGACACCATGTAACAGCATTCAAGCTATAGTCTCGCGGCTTGTAATGGCTCCACCGACAAAAAAACTGGTGGCCCACGCGCAATTACACAAATAAATAGCCATCACTGTCTACTTATCTTGCTATATATGATTCAAGGTGTAGCCTTCTCTCCTTCTCCTTCTATTCATTGGCATGTTACGCTATTGCCCGTTTCCGCGTCTGATCATGAGCGAGCACGTCAGCTCTCATGCTGCGGTTGGGAGTTGTTATCTGTAGGAGAAGAGAGTATCGTGGGGTCGATGAAGACTAGGCTCGCTCTCTGCTTGGTGAATTAAGAGTGTGTGCTGACGCGCGTGATGTGGGTAGCGTCGGAGACCAAACAAAAAGAACGTGAGTTGTAGCTCTAAAAATCGAGTGGTGGGCGGTTGCCAACGACAACGGTGAGTAGAGGGAGAAGATATACAGTGGAGAACACAGAACTATGGTCTTATGTATGTATTAGAGCAATATGAGAGGCTATTACTATAACTTACGAATTGTCAGCAAGCAGAGTGCCTTTCTAGGCGTAAGGACACAATTGTCGGCGGCCCCACACGCGACAAGCGGGGAGTAGTGAATGTGGCTGCCTATCGGTGAATTTCTAAAAGCCTGACCACACGGCTCTAAACCTGCATTCCATCGAATCCAGCAGTGACCTCCGACCTTCACATTTAATAATCTGGTGTCGATTTCGTAAACCGTAAGTCCTCTTGTCCTCGTGCAACTCCCTCCATCCATTTGAGTGAGGCTATGACAGTACAAGGCCACTGAGTAAACAGATAGACAAAACTGGGTGTCCAATGGGAACCCAAAGCCATTACCCCACCCAATTAATCTAATTACTTATACATGCAGAAGCACAGATATATGTATCTCTGCCGGACCCTCTCTGACAATCAACTCCAATCATACGTTACGTCCAACGAGAGGTTGTGTACGTTCTGTGTAATTTCGCAGTCGTCGGATTAAGAATAAGTCTGCGCTACCATACGCCACGCAACGAGGTCCGCAAGGTGAGGGGATAAGTGCACGCTGAATCGATTCACCATGCGATTTTCTCGCAGCCTACTGCCACGATCCCTCCAGACCATCAACACTCAAAAACGAAACACAATTCCTCCCACGACAGTTGCAAGAGCAAGCTCGCTCACAGCGACTCGATTGGGCCTCCAGTCTCTCAATCATTGCTGTGAAGTAACAAAGTAGAGACAGTGTGCAGCTTGACGGTCATTACATGTATGATGATTACGGGCACATCCATTACAGTAGCGCTTAAGTTTAACCTTTATACTTGACCGACATGTTTATCCTCTATACTAACAATCTAATTTCATACCATAATATAAACCTTGTTAGTTCCCTGTAGGAGCATTAGATTACTTCCTCTCTAAAATAATAAGAAAAGTGCATTAACACACACTGGAAAACTGATCAATGGGGTAAAAGCCTTTATAACAAGTACCCAATCGATCTTATGCATAGTTGAATTACTACCTGTACGCAATCTCCTTCCGCAATAAGATTCGCAATGGCCAACAATTAGAGCCCTCCTGTAATTGCAGCAGATTTCCCCATCCACCATGTACAAATTTAATAATGGCCAACAAACGAGAGCCCCCCAGTCGAGTACCTTATAGCCTTCATTTCGAAGCAACGAAATCGTTTTAAAACATGTTAGTGACCGTCCGAATCTGTTCAGTCTGTGAAAAGCCTATAAACTGTCAGGGTATCCACTAGTGTCAAGGGTCAGAGCTCCCAATGTTGTGGTATTTAGACCAGTACACATATGGCAGGTTCAGAAAACCTAAACACATGTTATAGAAAAGAGATCGGAGCTCATAAACTACATTCAGTTAACAGGCCAAACGTGATATATATCAGATCATCAGGCTGACAATATCCAGCGATTAGACAGCAACAAGACGAAGACAGTTATGTGGAAGAGGTGTTCAACATAGGTAGGAATAGGTTGGTCTGTGTGTGTTTGAGGTTATTAGTAGTTTGGTGGTTTTGTCTTGCTCTAGAGTTATATGAGCGCAGAAGTACGCTCCCGCGCAGCGCGCACTGCAAAATATAAACCCGACTATAATGTTTTATACTCACGACTATCTAGAGAGTCACTATGATTGTACAGGCTCAACCCTCCACAAGCAAAGAGTAATAGACTCTCTAGAGAATCAACAATATCAGAATCAATACGACTAGCAAACGTACTGACTTGAGAGTTTCATGATAAAAGCAGCTATTATGTCGTCACTTCCCGCAGCACCACATGTACGTCGTACGGGCGAGGCGGCGGAACCTCACTCGGGCGCCACGTAAAACGAGGGGCCAAGCACAGCTTACGCGGAACGGCTTGTGTCAGCGCTGATGGTATTTGATCAGGGCTGCAACCTCGCGAAAGAGCTGGCGGGTATTACAGTACGACGTCCCGTTGATTACACACCACAGGATGATCGCGCACTGGGTGTGCACGGCGGGTTCCACGAGCGCCTGTCCGTCGCGGTGCGCTGAACGTCTGGTGGTCGTCGAACCCTTCTCTGATGGCTTTCTCGCGCGCTGTTCTTTACACCCACAGTTCATACCGCCGAAGACGTCACAGACTGAACGCAGCATGATAGTATGCTCTTTCTCGTGCAGTCCACATTCCAGAAGAAAGTCAATCCCTCACTCTGACTGCCGTTTCAGTTACACACAGAGAGCCACATCCTTGTGATTTTAGTCAGCCAAGACCGCTTGGGCGCTGGGTTACGTTGAAGCCCTTCAACCACAAAACTTGTGCGGAATTGGGAACGCGTGTGTACTCGCCTGCGTCAGTCAAGGTCCGTGCGAGGATTCAAGTAACAGTCTCCCCAGCTGTGATGCTCTCAGGTCATCGTCACTCGTCTCAACGTATGCGTAATATCCATTTACTGCTCACAAAGACGACATCTTGAGCTGCGCCAGCCGCTTACCCCACGGCGGAGCAGCGCGGGACCTCCGAGCCTGCTCTGCAAGGGCTGTCGTACTGCGGCCGTCTAAGTCGCGCGGTTTTACGTCTACTCTGCCGTGATCTGTGTTTCATGTGAGGCATTTAAAACAATGACGACCGCGAATGGCATGACTTCGCACGACTACCTCAGCATTCTCCGAGTTTGAAAGGCCGCGTACAGAGCGTTCCTAGGGTGGAACGGTTTTCCTCCCTGTTTGATTAACTCTACAATGGTTCAAAAACAAACGAACGGGAATGGTTACCGGGTTTTGGTTGTTCCCGGTGACGTTCTACCAGACAGCGTCACGAAAAGAGTGTACTTAAAAGACACACGTCTCTCGTGTATTTTGGCATTTACCGCTGTGT